ATTAAGCATCTGCCTTCAACTCAGGTCATGATCTCCAGGTTCCTGGGATTGAGTCCCACTGCAGGGAGGTGGGGGGATGGGGGGGTGGTCCCAGCTCAGGGGGAAGTCTGCTTCTCTCTCTCTCTCTCCCTTTGCCCCTCCACCCCCACTCATTCTGTCTCTCTCTCTCCAATAAGTAAATAAAATCTTTAAAGAAATAAAGCTTTATTGAAACAAACCCATGGCCATTGTTTGCCATATTGTCTGTGGCTCCTTTCATACTACAGTGACAGAGTTGAGTAGTTGGGACAGAGACCAGATGGCCTTCAAGCTAAAATATTTACTACCTGGCTCTTTATGGAAACCATTTGCCAACCCCCGTACTGGAGTAATCAGGGTAGATTCAGTGGAGTGGTTGGGTCTTAAACTAAATCTTGAACAAAAGAGACAGTGTTTATTTTTGGTATAAAGAAATAGAGAATTGTTAAAAGAGTTTTATAAGAAAGAGTACTAAGAGCATAACTGATGTTACATCACTGTGCAAAAGTCATTAAATTATTGATAACACCATAGACCATAACTGAATGTATATACCACTTACTATTTGCCAAGTACTGTCTATTTGCTTCATAGTAACTCATTTTATACTCGCAGCAATATTATGAAATAGACGGTTTCTTATCTCCATTTTTCCAGATGAGAACAGAGAACACAGAGAACTAAAGATGTGTGCCCAAGGTCACAAAGTTATCAAGTAGCCTAACTAGAATTCAAATCCTGGTATCCTTACTCTAAACTCCATAATCAATATAAAATATGATAAAGCCCAAAACTGTGCATAAATTATAGCTATGAGCAATGATGCGGTTTCTGAAGGACACATGAAAATCAACTTTATCACTCTCTATTGCTGAACCTTCTTGGCTAACCACAACACCTGTTCACTTTACGTACTCTTTGTCCCCTGCAAAAAACTGCCATTGCTCAGCTGGAAATCCCCTAAACGGGACATCCCAATGGTGCATCTAGTGGTTATGTTGCCATGGTAATGCTGTGTTAACACAGTAACCACTGGCCATTCCAAGAGGTGGACCATAACCCATTCATTAAACTTGAGTTTGAGAATGCCACTGTTACCTAAGAAAACAGAAGGTTCTCTATCCCAAACAATAGTCAATAAGGTCATCCTGGTCAGGACAGGCTGAAGCCACCTTGGGCATTATTTCTTATAGATATAAACTGGGTTCTCTTTAGGAGTCCTATTTTAGAGCAGGGGCTCCCAACCCAGAATAGTGATCTTTGATCCCTAGCCAAGAAATGGGCCAGCCCTTATGGTCAATCAGGGACCCATGGTATATCTGCTGGGAGGCCAAAAGGATAACATGCATCGGGCTCATTATAAACACCCTAAGTGAACAGAGGCAGAATTCCAGAAGAGAAGTTGTTTTTGATTCATTACCTTATTATCACATGGGAGAGATTACTCCTAGTAGATAATCTCTAATACAAGTAAGAGAGAGAGGGAGAGAAAGTACAAGCAGATGGAGCAGTAGGCAGAGGGAGAAGGAGAGGGAGAAGCATGCTCTCCGCCAAGCAGAAAGCCCATTGTGGGACTTGATCCCAGGATCCCAGCCGAAGGCAGATGCCTAACTGACTGAGCCACCCAGGTGCCCCAAATACGATTAACTTTTAACAGACTAATAGAACTTAAATTGATATATCTCTTTTAGAGGACATTTTGGCCATTTGTATCAAAAGCCTTAAGACTGTTCAAAGCCAATGACCCAGAAATTCTAATTCTACTAATTTATCCTAAAAAAAAAAAACAAAACAGATATACCTCAAGGCTATACATTAAAACATTACTTATAATAGAGAAAAACTGCAAACACTTTAAATGAACATGGAATTTATTAAATAAATTATGAAATAACCATAAATTACTACATTAATGTTATAACCACAAAAACTATGCAGTTGTTTAAATTTTGATCATGAAAGACTATTAAATTTAAAAAGCAGATTAAAACCAGCATCTAACATAAACTTCTATTTTTCTAAAAGCCAAAAATAATAATGCATATATATATGCACTCATAGAAAAACAGATTTAGCAGAGGTTTTCTCCCAGCATAGAACTATGGTGGTTTTAATTTTCTATTTTTTACACAATAAATTTTGCACTGTTTTAGTAACTTTTAAAAATGGTTAACGGTTATATTTAATTTTTTTTTAATTGTGTTTCTCTCCTTTGGCTATTACATTATTATACCTTGCCCTTATGGTTTTCAGTTCTGTGAATTCTACCACTATGTTTTCCCAGTAAGCCAAAATGCAGAGCAGTCTTTCTCAACAACCTAGGGGAAAGGCAGCCCATGTTTTCAGAGATCCACCCACGATACAAAAACCCTCAAATCCGACAACTGGCTGACCAGCCTTATTGGGCTTTTACTCTGATAAACAGCTACGCCATAACATGACTCTGACTGGCTTCATCAAGTTTATCAATGTTGCCTGTTCTGGTATGGGTTTTGCTGTTGTTGGGGTTTTCCTAAAAAGAGTCAGAGTCCAAAATTAAAACAAGAGGTCAAGGGAATTAGCTGACTAAGAGCTCATTAAAACAGTGTGTGCTGTACAGATTGTGAAACAGCTGAATATTGTAGGGCCTGGAGTGTGGCGGAGAAGAGAGATGCGGGGTAATTTCTTTTCCCAGGACAGAACGGGAGCAGGTAAGCGGAGTCAGAATATAACCGCATCCTGAACCGTTTCTGGACAGGACGTGACTTAACATTTTTTGAAATAAAGGAGTGTCTTTTTCATTTCACTCCAAATGATCATTAGGAAAGGGTTTATTTATATATTGCACAACAAGTGGACAAAGTCAACTTGTGTTTGGCTGCGGCTGTCCGAAATATCAGGATAAAGTTAGGTAGGTTCAGCTAGCAATCAATAATAAAAGTAATAATTAGGGGCGCCTGGGTGGCTCGGTGGGTTGGGCCTCTGCCTTCGGCTCGGGTCGTGATCTCGGGGTCCTGGGATCGAGCCCCGCGTCGGGCTCCCTGCTCATCGGGGAGCCTGCTTCCCCCTCTCTTCTCTGCCCGCCTCTCTGCCTACTTGTGAGCTCCCTCTCTCTGTCAAATGAATAAAATCTTAAAAACAAAACAAAACCATTTAAAAAAAAATTTAAAAAAAAAGTAATAATTAGACGCACAAATGTTTGGCTTTTCATCCAGCTGCCAACTGGCAGCCGTGTGAACTTTCCTGACCACCTTATCTGAAGCTACTGGAGGAAAGGACACTCCTTTAAAACAACCAACACAATCCCAGAGGCAGAGAGATGTTCCCTAAACTAGCCTCGCTCAGTAAAATAATCCATGTTTATTGCAGTGGCTTGAAAAGAGGAGAAAACTCATAATTTCCTTCAGGGGCAGAGTGACATTTCTGTGTCTGCTCAACCTCTATCTTTAAGCACCCACAACGCTCCAGACTTGAGTGTGGTGCTGTGCACTCAAGCTAGGACCCTATCCGCTCTGGGGCATGGACCATAAGGCATTCAGCGTGCCAGACTCCATGCTAAAATGACCCCACTTGTCCTTACCCTGTATTCCTGCCTCTTATAACGTGACTTTGCTGCTCCTTGCATGAGACAGTTGAATTTCTGTTCCCACCTCCCAAGTCTCACTGGCTTATGACTTACTTTGGCCAACAGAACACGTCAGCAGAGACACTGTGCCACATGTGAGCCCGGGCCTCAGGAGACCTCATGTGCCTCTGTTCTTTCTTCCAGAGCCCTGCCTGTGCAAATAACCCAGTACCAGCCCAACAGGCATGAGAGACCACAAGGGGGAGAGGCGAGACGGCCCAGCCAACACGAGCCTTCAGTAACCCCCAGAAGCAGAGCCACCTAGGGAACCTGCAGCTGACCGGAGATACAGAGCAGAGAGTAGCTGAGGGCAGGTGAACCACCCAGAGGGACCAGGCTTAAAGTGCTGCCCCACAGAACCGGAAGCTAAACGCGAGGTGGTTGTCTTGGGCCCTCCAGCTTTAGGAGGGTTTGCTACGCCGTAGTGCCCAACCAAGCCATATGCTGACAACAAATGCTAACTCTGACAAGCCAAATACAAAATGCCACGGGGCACCTGATGGGAGCACCTGTGATAATCCAGCATGCTGAAAATTGCAATGAATCATCCAATGGATCTATATATAGAACAGATCTGACCAGTTGTAGGAGGGACCCTAAAAAAGCTGTCTATCTAGGAAAGGGCTAGCTCAAAACAGCCATAGCTCCTTTGAAAAACTGTGGATGAGCTGGATTTGTTTATGAAGTCATTCTTCGTTTCTTTTCTCTCTCTCAAAAAAAAAAAAAAATAATAATAAGCAGTTCTTTCATTCAATTAAGACCGTTGGACTCGATAGGAATTGTCTAGCTTGATTCAAAGCAGCCATATCCTCTCTGACACATGTTCAGCCTCCACCACTCCATAGGCTGGAATTTTAAATCCAGCTCTCCTGAATTTATGACAAGCGCACAAGGTAGCAAGTCCCTACAGGCTGAAAATCAAACTGTAATTCAAAGGCCACAGGGCTGAGGAAACAGCCAGAAGATAAATCCCAATTTCAACCTTGGATTCGCAGCAAGTTGATTTAGTGGACTGTCAGTCATATTTAAAAATAAAATAAAACTACAAAGACAGCAGACGGCATGTTCTAAAGAGAAACAGGATGATGCTTTTCAGGACTCCTTCAAAAAGCTCTTGTTACCTGAAAAGAACTGTTCTGTTATTTTAAGGGCCCTAGAAACATTTGGTCCCCATCAGTCATTTGCAGAAGTTTCTGAGTTTTTAACTAATGAGAGAGAAGGAAGAAATGCAACCATCAAATACAACCGAGCCCCCCACAGGAGAGGTGGCATTTCAAGATGGCAAAGCAGCCTGCTTCTAGAGCTGAGCAGGTTCCCCCCACCCAACGGAGCACATGGAAAAGGAGCGCACGCTGGGTGCAGAGGTGCGGGTACTGACCTTACAGCCCTCACAGGCGCTGACTCCATAGTGGTACCCCGATGATTTGTCCTGGCAGACGAAGCAGGGTTTGTACACACGGGGGGGAGGAAGTGGAGACGGAGGGCTCGGGACCAGTTCCTCAGAGCTGGTGCTCTGTGTTTCAATTGCTGTGGTGGAGATGGGTTGGGGAGGGGGAGGAGGGGAGAAAAAAAAGAGAAAATGGGTCATTTCATTTCTTTTTCACCAGCGAAATCATAGGCCCCAGAGCCAAGTTCAGCAAGAACACCAGCAAGGACAGGCCCACAAAAACACGGGTCGTTGTCGGCCCAGCTGTGGGGACATGGACAGGATCATGGTGCTCTACCGTTCACAGAGCACGCTTATTTGCCCCTCTCCTTCGTGGTGCGTCCCAGCACTGTGAGGGACATGGTTTTCTCTCCATGCTGCCCTTGAGGGAAACAGAAACTTGGGGAAGTGCCATGACTGGTCCAAGATCAACAGGCTGGTTCGTAGAACCAAGACACAAAGTGAGATCTTCACACTGCAACCCCCGGTCTTTCTGCGCTTTGTTTTCCTTAGCTTCTGATGCGCATGGAGTCTCTGAAATGACTTGTTCGACCCTGTTGCTCACTTAGCCAAAAGTAAGTTTCCCAAGACAAATGGAGAAAATGCCCACAGCAGCCACTGGGCAAGCGTCTGGGGAGGGCCATGTAGCCATGACGGATTGTCATTAATAACAAAATCAGTAAGACCTTGGCTACTCCAAGACTGCTCCTCGGACCAGCGGCCTCAGCGTCCACTCAGAGCTAATGAGAAAACAGAGCATCAGGCCCCCGCTCAGGCCTTGGGAATCAGAATCTGATTTTGAACAAAACCCTCAGATTGCCAAATATACAATTAATGTTTGAGAAGCAGTGGGTTATACTGATGACGGCAGAGTCATTCTGCTCTTTTTCCTAGATTTAAAAATATAGGATTGCCCCATTTAATTTTTAACCACCCAAATTCCATGGGAAATAAGAATTCACAGAATTTATTCTCCCATCCCTTCTTACCAGATTTATGTTCCAAGTCAAAGCAAGACCTGGCCCTTTTCCTATCACAGGCAAAAATGCACACAAAGTGTGATGGAAATGGGGAAGGGAGTGAGTGACCCAAAGTCATCCAGTAATGTTCCAGAATCTTCCAACCTCCAAATTTCTTTACAATATACAGTATATTCCCCAGAGTGTAAGATTTCCAGTTGTTCCACTACTCACAATCTTCCAGACTAGATATTCTATTGACTTTATTGTCCTATAGCCAAACCTTCAGGAAGATGGGGCAACTCTACTTCTTACACACATTGTGGATCCAACCTCATCTCATCATCCTGCTACCATGCCAGGCCAGCAGGCCACCATCATCTCTCACCTGAGCTACTGCAACAGCCTCTTCAATGGTCTCCCTGTGCCTGTGCTCCTACCCCTGGGTCCCTTCTTCAAATACAGAGTCAGATAACCTTTCAAAAAGGTAAAAGCAATCCACCTTCCTTACTTGTCTAATAAGGCCCTCCACTAGTCGCCAATTAGATCAAAGTCAATCTCATTATTGCGTTCTACAATGCTCTTTATGATACGGCCCCTTAGTAACATCAACATCACTGAGATCATCATTCTCATTTATCAAACCTCTAAACACTTAGCTTCTATTCCATCTCCTGAATAGGGCAAGCTTTTGTACCAACATAAGACTACTGCACTAACCAGGTAACCATACCTGGAAATTCTCAGACCGCCACATGTCTGGTGACATTTCTTCACCTCTTAGATCTTAAAGTAAATGTCACCTCCTCCAAGATGGCTTTTCTAAGATGCCCCTTCTCCCTTCTGATCACTACACCCCATTATTTTATTTTCTGTAAAACCCTGACCAGTACCAAAGTTTAGAACATTTGTTGTTGCACAATTTTATATTCTACCTGTTACCTTCCAACTCCGGATTTCACGAAGCCAAGGAACTTACCTGCATCATTTACAACTATGTTCCAGGCCAAGAAGAGGTCCTGGCACATAGTAGGTAGGATATCAATAAATATTTGTGAATGAATACATGAACTTTTCCCTGCTCCCTTTGCGTCTTCATTCCAAGTACTAAGTGCCCCTCTAAGGCATTAAGGTAACACAATTACAAATCAAATAGCTTTCATATACTCATTTGCTTCCTTAAAAAATTAATTATCCTTTTGGAGTAGAATCAACTATAATTATAGTATTTTCATAATTCAGAAGTATCTTGGAATGAATTCATTACAGTGATGCAGGGCTAGCAGATAAATCTACTACAGTCTTTACTGGTTAGAAGATGTCTAGGATGAAGACGGCCCTTACTCTGGGCAGCTTGGCACCATTATGACAAGTATTCTACATAAAAGTTAGCATCGGAGAAGTCACTAAAGCTTATCAGATCAGCTATCAAGCTGTTAAGTGCAAAAGCAGTCCCGACACTAAGCTAATCAGCTTCACTGGAAGCAAATGAGTAATAATGACATCAACAAGAAAACAGTACTTGTTAAAAGTACGGAATAATGTATGGCTCTTTGTTAAAATCTAAGAAAAACAAACATGCAGAGAATCACCCCCAACCTTCTACTCAGAGAAAACGCATGGTTATCACCCCAGCATACATCCTTCTAGACTACTTTCCTAGCCAGATAAATGATTCTGGTTTGTTTGTTTGTTTGTTTGTTTACAAAAGTAGACTTCTACTGTAGATTTTGTTTGGGACTGTTTAACTTATTATGTCATGCGTTTATTTCCTTGCCCATAAATATTTTTCCTGCAAAACATTCCATTATGATGACCCTCTTTTTAACTAATCTCAGCACATGCCTATTTAAGATAAATTATCTGAAGTGGAATTACTAGCTCAAAAGGTATGGTTATTTAGAAATGTTTTGTTACTTTTTACTTCATGTTGATAAACGGACTTCTAGAAAGGCTAGGTCACTCCCAGTATATCAATACAAGGGAGTCCTTCCCTAAATGCCTCCCCAAAGTCTTGGATTGGTTTTATTTGTACGGCTCTACTTCCACCCAAGTGTTTCAACAACTCTGACAGAGTTATGTCATCACCACCACGATCAATCCTGCACTGTGTTCGCCACAGAAGCAATGTGGGGTGTGTGTGTTTTAATGTTCTACTCGCTCGTGTAGAACAGCTAATCTGGCTTGTCTAGGAAAGTTGTAAATAGAATTCTGTTAGGGCTTGATTCAGCTGTCAGAGTTATGCCCTGAATTTCAAAAGTGGGTGGTAATTTCCATAAATATGTCACTTCAAATACATGTCCTAAAGGGAATCCAGCATTTCACCCTCCCAAAGAGAGGAAACAGAACTTGGGCAATTTAATACCCAAGAAACTCAGGGCAAAGCACACTTTTAAAAAGGCAGGAGACCTCACAAACCCCAAAACATTTTACAAAGTTTGGTAAAAGCCTTTTTCTGTGGATAAGAGTCACTTGTAACAAATGGATGAATCCAGAATGCTTTTCCTGAACAGGTGCCATGAACGGAAATGTTCTGTTGTCAGCGATCAATAGTGACGGCTCTAGACTTTTATTAAAGCTGTGGTGATTTCACCAGTAATGCTATGAACTTTCCCATGTTTGTGTGGTGGATGGTCATGTGTTCAATCATTTATTCTGCTGAGTGACTAGACCACAGCATGCCAGATACTGTGTTATATGCTATGGATGATACGTGGTATAATGCCTTAAGTCTTGATGGTTTCGCCAGATGGAAAATAAACCAAAAACGAGAATATAATACAGTGGCCCTCTAAGCCGGTTGTACATTAGACCTACGTAGGGATCTTTTAAACACTCTAATGCCCAGGTTGTATCCCAAAGCTATTATGCCTGACTATCTGGGAGTGGGAGCCACGAGTGTATAAACAAACAAACAAACAAACCCAGGTGAGTCCAAATTGTAGCAGTTTGGGGACCATGGATATAATAAAATGACAGAGAGCTAAAAGCCTTTTTGAGCCCAGAGAACTCAAAGGAGACTTCCCAGAGGAGGTGACCAGGCTGTGTTTTGAAGGATGAATGAGTTATTTCTATTGAGGTTTGTAATTTGAACCCTACAAATGCCATAAATGAATCCCACACAAACATAAATAGAAAAAGCCTTATATATGACAAGAAATAATCATCTTCAGAAAAACTGTCCCACTGGTGGTAATGAATTCAATATTGGTGCTAATATATACTCAAACAACCCCCTCCAAACTGATAATCGATGTTCCCGTATTTCCTTTGTGTGGTCTATACCACAGAGAACAATGTGAAGCAAAACAGAAAAGCAAATCTCTGTGGTGTGGTTGAATGCCAAAGCTATCCTTAAGCAAACACGTCAAGGCAAGTTCTAGAATTACAACCAGGATATGGCATCAATATAAAAGCAGATCTGTACTTTAACGCAACCTCTGGACTTTTCAGTAAAAATATACTTTGGCCAAGTTTATTAATGCTCCTCTTCCCCTTCTGTCGTCCCCCTACCACCACCACCAATACAGACAGTGGGAAACAAGGGAGGGGGGCAGCCTAGGGCTCCTCTCCCACTAGCCATTGTTGGTATTTAAGAGAGCTACACAGCGCTTGGCCATTGATCTGTTCACTGTCATCCTGCTTAAATCAATAATCTATTAGTCCCTTTAAATTAGAGTTAGATTCATCAAATGCCCTTGAGAGGTCTCAAACATTTTGTTCCTTATTCCAGGCAAGCACAATCAGTCTATGGAATGATAAAATTTTTGCTCAAAAACTCTGCAGGCTCAGCAGACAATGTGTCCTGTATTAGCTCATTCAGCGATCTCAGGCAGGCCAAAAAAGCAGTTTTTAGACTTCCCAGGGGGAAAAGAGGCTTGTGTCATTCAATAAAACAACTGCACTCCAACCATCCTGATGTGATTTCAGTTTGGGGAAGCAGTCTTTGAGGAATAATTTGGATCTGCTTTCTGCCTCATGCTTTTATTTATTTCCTTGCTTACTTATTGACTTATTCAGTTCTGTCTGGTGACTGCATCCCCAGTAAGCAGCAGCCTCTGATGGGGCATCCAAACTGCTAACCAGATGGGCTGCCCTGCTTTGTCAGGGAATGGCCAAGACAGAGGAACTTCTGCTATTTG